ATTTGAGAACTTGGGATGGTTGGGGAATTAGATGGACTGTTCGCAAGCCACATCCCATAACGCCTTTTCGGTGACATGCTTATGACCAGTAGTATCCCCTAAAACCCAACATGCCCGAACATTATGGCTTCAGGGCTTTGGGTTTGACGGCCGCTAAACCTGCGATCGGAATAGTTCGCCAGACGGCACACTGGTTGTAGGTTGCTTCGCATTGCAAGGAATGTGTACGAGCAGTAGGATGACAGTTGGGGTTTCGGGCGTCTACATGCGGGGCATTCAAGCCTAAACCCCACGCTCTACGTGACTGTCGTGGTGGCTTTGTAGTGTGCACAAGACCGGCCTAAGGTTTATTGGGAATTCGTTTTACCGGTTTCAGCATTGGTCTGCTTGCTACATGCATTTTTTGTTTGCGGGTCTTGCAGTTTGGTCCTCAACTCAAACCCTGTGCCGTTTTCCACTGAGTTTGAATCGATTGGCCGTGATATCCGGAACACTTTTTTACATCGTGACTGGCTCAGCGTTTCAGTTGCACAGCCTTTTGGATAGCTTGTCGCGGGAACATAACTTCGGACGTGCTGCTACGTCCTGCACTGAGCACATTTGGCATTTGTCAGGGTCGCTTGCAAAGAATATAGCAGCTATACTTTCCCAACCGTTTTCGACAAATGTTTAAAGGTCATCGTGCACCATGAGGTATGCGATAGCTCTCTCCTGCAAGCTACATACTTTACCCGAAGTTGCCCACTAGCCTTTCTACAGCCCTCCGACAAACACTACACAAACGCAGCGTCTTGTAGCTCGGATGGGATTTCGACCCTTCACTCCGACTCCTGTAGTCGATCAATCGGCTGCCACCCCGAATGGAAGCCCATGGCAACCACGCCACTGCAAGCAGAAGGGCCCGTTCGTGGAGCCTTGGATAGAATCTTCCGTTTTCTCTGAGGGTTCTGGTGGGGCTTTCTTGGCTTCTTGCAGATTGCTTTCCATGAGGCGCAGCCCTAGGCGCCACGACGCAGTGTTCGGGAAGGTTTAAGGCATGGATGACCTCTTTCGAGGAGAAAAATCAAGCCGACCCAAGGCCCGACAGCGAGCCGAGCTTGATTCAACCTGGGCCAACTCTAAACCCCAAAGGCCAACTAAGTCAAGCCTACACCAACCCTAATCCGGGCGGCGCCAGGATGCCTGACTAAGTTTGAGGATCTCTTGAGAAATTTAATTGACCCAATGCCCACTGACTTTGAAAACGCACCAGCAGATTTTTCTTAAGACTGTAAGCGGTGTAGGGGATTTCACGACCTAACAGCTCGGTGCCATGTGTTCCGTCTGTTGAGCTCGGATGGCCCCCCGGTTCCCACAACGAAACAAAGGTGGCTAAGACCGTCAGTGTTCGACTTTCTCAGATTTCTAGTCGGGCGGATTGGGTGGCTGGGGTGACTTCTGCGTCCCACATCGAAAGCAAAGGTGACATCGGACTTTTTTGCGTTGTTGTAGACAGGCTTCGTTTCTGGGGGCACAAGCTTAAAATATTGATGGCCTGAGGTGTGGAGACTCCCATTTGTACTTTCCTCAGCGAAATGCATGCAGTTGACTGGGTTGGGCTTGGACAGCTCTGACGGCCCCACACGAAATCAAAGGAAGCTAGCAAAGGCAGCACAGGGTCGACACTGTGCCTTCTCTTTCTGGTACGAACCGTACATCCTGAACCCACAACTCGAAGCCACCACCCTAAACCCTAAACCCTAAACCCGCCCAGGAGGCTACTTGCATGAGCCGACTCTTACCGATTCACTTCTTCATCGCGTGTGCAGTCACCGAGACCTCGGTTGTGACTTTGTTAACAAACGCTTCGGCGGGGTTTGCTTGATGTTAGCTTTTCGGCTTTTCGTGTTTCATCCACTTCTATCCTGCAAGCTCAGTCACATGTACATATTTGCATCCATGCACATTTGCTGCGCTGCCATCCCAGAATGCGGTGTTATGTATGGACAGGAACCTACTACACAGGTAGCCGGGCTTCTGGTCGGTCTTCTGGTTTCGGCAAGGCTGCAGTGTCATGAAAGCTCCATCGACTCTCCCATGTCGAGGGTGTTTGGAGCCTCTCCCAAAACCCTAAACCCTAAACCCTAACCCCCCCCCCCCACTTCCCCATAAAGGAGGTATGCATAGAAACAACAAGGGCCGCCTTGGCATGCTGAGTCGGCAACGGTGACAGTAATGCTGACGATGATGATGGCGATGGTGGTCATGCAGCGAAGACTTTGTTGCCTGCGAGGGGAATCCCAAACTATACTCGCTGCTGGCTGGGTGCTGCAGATATACAAAGCCGAAGGCCCAGGGAAAAATCTTGAAACCCTAGGCCGCCCATCTCCAAGGCCAGATTCTTTGGAAGATCTGCCAGCCTTTGCCCAAGGTCCCGCTCGTGAGGCAGAGTTGCCGGGCTGGGGTGTAAGGCTGTTTTCCGAGGCCAGACACACGAGTCCTGTAGCCAAGCAGTAATGAGAATGCTTCAGTAAACCAGAAAAGAATGTGAGCAAGCTTTGCTTAAGTTGCAGTTTCCCCTGTCACTAGTCCAACCGTTAGGGTCAGAGTTTGATCCACCCATGTTTTCACTTCTTAGGTTATATGCGAAGGGCAGCGTCAGGACCAGGAGACCTCGTGAGGATTCATTCGGACAAGTTTCCTGCCGAAGCCCAGACAGCCAGCCAGAACTCTTTCATGCACGGTGGCACTAATCCGAGCTAAGCTTCATTGAAAATGGATGTGTAAGTCCCTTGCAAGAAAACTTCTGGCACCCTTGCCCAAGCCCTAGGCATGCTGTTTATACTGCAGGCAGCCGTAAACGGCTCGAGGCTATGTGTTTAGGGCTTGACGAGAGCGGATTTTGCCAGTTTTCAGGGCTCAGGGGTTGTAAGTTTGTGTGGAGACATTATATCGAGACTTAATTAGAGTCCAAAACCCTCAGCAGGTTCCAGCTTGGGGCAACATGGGCTGGGGCCGGGGTACTTTGCAGCTGCAGGCGCACATGGCTGGACAAAGCTGGGGTGCCTCCATCCAGTCTCGTGCTCACAGAGGATACACGCTTGAAGCTGCAAGCGAGATACTCACACTCTTGATTCCGGCAGGGCGAGGAAACTATTGGTGTCGGGCCCATCTTGTTTCGAAGCCTGAAATTGTAAAGTTATGGGCTGGGAGATGCTGCATTTCAACGTTACCGAGGCTAAAATATGATCTCCGAGTTTCTTTGTGATATGTTGGAATGCAAAGCCAAGCTGGCTGAAGGGAACTGGTTGGGTACGAATGTTACCGGTCTTCAACCCGTCTTCCACTTAAAGACAGAGAAGCTTCTGGGGTTTGGGGTTTAGGGTGGTTCATCAAGCCTTTCGTCACGGTCACGGGGGTTTTCTTGGTCCTAGGGCTGCTATAATGCCGGAAGGGAGGATCGAGAGCCTCATTCCGACCCAGACCACCCCAGCCAACCGTCAGTCTGCGCGTACACCGTGGGGGTCTTGGTAATTCCAAGTAGAATTACAGAGTTCACAACCATGTCTCATACTCCTGACATGCATGAAACATATGGGACCCGAACCCCAAGCCCTTAAGCTTATTGCCACAATCCCTAAAGCCCTGACGGCCCGGCCCTAGCGCTGGACACTGGTTCAGTTCTGGAAGTCACTTCAGAGCCCTCAAGGACCAGCGATTCGATCCTGAAGCCAGCGTTGGCTTAACTGCCGCGCAGTTGCACTCAGACATCTAAATTCGGAGCGCTGGTCTGTGGGGTTTGTTCGGCTTGACAGGGCTTATCGGGATTTTGTCTTGGATTAATGAAGGGTTCAGGATTTGGGAGGTAGAGTTTGGGGCTGCAAGAGCAGGGAGTTTACCGCTTAAATCCTGCAAGACGCTCAAGGGCTGCAGCGAACTCGAATTTGGGCATTGTAGTTAGAGCTCCGGTCGTTTTGATGTGTGGAGCCCGAGCCCTAAACAAATTTGGGCATTGTAGTTAGAGCTCTGGTCGTTTTAATGTGTAGATCCCTAAATCCTAAACCCTAAATCCTAAACCCTAAATCCTAAACCCTAAACCCTAAACCCTAAATCCTAAATCCTAAACCCTAAACCCTAAGCTTTGCTATCAATGCACTTCTTGGGCGTCTGTGAAGCTTGCTTGGGAATTCGGATCTGAGGCTCCAGCCTGCAGAAGCTTCGGGGATGTGTGGTTCCGCTGTTTAGGGCTTAGGGTTTAGGGTTTAGGGTTTAGGGTTTAGGGTTTAGGGTTTAGGGTTAGGGTTTATGGTTTAGGGTTTAGGGTTTAGGGTTTAGGGTTGTTTCTCATAGCTAAAACTATAAGCCAAAACAGACCCCATGACTCATGTGTGCTCATGACGTGATGTCTGGCACCTATAAACCATGCACCCTAAACAAACCGTAACCTGACGTCAAGAACAGTAGACCCCTACGGAGATACAACCTGCTACGCGAGAATCGCCCCCAAACACCTCGCCTGGATTGTCCCACTGTGAGCTCCGAAACCAACCCTAACCTACACCCCTAACCCCGATACCTTCGGGCCCCAGACCGTACCCCCTTAGCCTTGAAGTAGAGCCCCCAGCACAGTGGCAGTTGAGGTCAGTATCCAGGGAATCTCCAAAGTAGACCTGGTGAACTTCTACTGGGGTGGCCATGTCAGTGTGTCTATGAAGGCATCGGCTGGGTGCACGTTTAGGCATTCACTTCGTGGGCTTAGTGCTTCGGGCTTCTATAGACTATTTGAGTGGAGGGTTTATTTTCTGACTTCCGTCATGAAGTGGTCGGCTGTTCTTGAATCCTGGACGAACTATCGC